CTGTGGAAAGGGCTTACCGCTCGACATGGTAGACAGACACATTGTCAAATTAGCTGTCTTGGGTCCAGCTCATTAGATCGCTTACATAACACTTGACTATCAGTGAGACAGAGCATGACACCTCCATAGTCAGCCTGGAGACTCCTTGATTTGTGCAGTGAGTAGATGATCCAAATGTATCTTGTACTGCAATATTTATTAGACATGCACCCCCTCATTCCTGCCTAGAACATGTAGTAGCAGTGGGTGGACATGAGACTGCTCCGTTTCATACTGCAGGCTTGTCCCTCGCTTGGAGAAGAAGATGCACATTTGCCTCATTTCCATAAGATCATCATTTTGCACATAGAAGATTAAAGTGTTTAGGAGTAGTGTGGTCCTGGGGGTGTCCTGGCTGCATCAGCTGTCTGACAGGCTGCATAGGAACAAACTTATGTATATTGATGTCTTGTCAAACTGTGGTTATGTTCACTAAAAAATCCCTGCTTCCCAGAGCTGCTGCTGCTGTCTGCTGCTGTCTGCTGCTGCCTACCCGCCTGATCAAAGTGGATCCACATAGCACCACCTTGTGCCTATGGCTTGGTTTTATCTTGCATCAAGCCTTAGCCTGTGCAGTAGGATTTAACGCAGAATCATATGCAAAGTATCGTTTGAATTGGTTTGTGACACGTTGAAGGCAACAGTAGCTCAGTTGGTAGAGCATTGGCTCGAGGTTCGAGCCTGACCTTCACCATCGACTCCCATTGATATCTGCTGTCGTTGTGTATGAAGGTTATTTTGTGTTTATAGAATTCAAAAGCAAAAAAAAGTGTTGATAATAAAAACACTAAATAACCTTCATAGTTGTGTCCTTGGCAAGACACTTAACCTCTGGAAAGACCAGTCACAGTGGGGCGGCTGCGGCTGTAAAGTGCCAAACTGCCGTTTCAAGACACTTCACCCCCATTGCCTAGAATGAGTCTGGTGTGTGAGTGGTGGGTGGTGGTCGGAGGGGCTGATGGCGCATACTGGTTGCCTCGCTTCTGTCAGTGTGCCCCAGGGCAGCTGTGGCTACAGTAGTAGTTTATCACCACTGTGTATGGAGTGAATGAATAATGACATGTAAAGCGTCTTTGAGTGTCAAGAAAAGCGCTAAATAAAACCAATGCATTATTATTATTATTGAAGAATTCCAATAGTTCAGATTGTACTGGAGAACAGTTTAGACATCTAAGAGAGCTGGTTTAAAGTTCAACCGACTGTGCTTGGTTTTACAAGTCCAGAAAATTCAAAGTCCAAAGTCTTTTTCTAACTCAGTATGAACAAGAGATCCAAATATATAATATAATATAATCAAAATAGAAATAGATTAAAGCAAATTATTCCACCAAAGAGAGGAAAACTTGAATTTCAGAGCCCCAAGAAAAAAAATGCATATTTTATGTGAAACATCAACACACAGTGGCTGAACCTGGAGAATGACGCTCTTACCGATTAAATAAATAAAATAAATAAAAACACCACTTGCTGCCATGATTGTGCTTTGTTATTTCCACCCATCATCTACCCTCATTTTGATCCTGCTGATTTTGCAGATTGGATGTTTTGCCGCACACAGATTTAGCGGACGGTGTTCTGGGAGCGATGGGAGAAAAGCAGCTCAAAGATGTTTATTGAAGTTTAATCAGGGCTTTTAAATGAAACCCAACGAGAAGATCGTTCAACTAATCCAATAAATTAGAAGTTGGATTTTTGTCAAGACATACCTCAAATCTAAACCACGGCTGGCTAATTTATGTCAATGGTGGATACAAAGTGGAAAGTTGAAGCCGGGGTGACTTAATTTCAAGTATATGCACACAAAAACATTTGAAATGAAAATTATTTGAAAAGGAATAGAAACGATCCCCTCTTTATGTAACAAATGTGCATTAAGATATAATTAAATGTAAGCAAGAAGGTCCTGGGTTTGATTCCACCTCCAGGCCTTTCTGTGTGGAGTTTGCATGTTCTCCCCATGTCTACGTAGGTTTCCTCCGGGTGCTCCGGTTTTATGAGTGAATGGATGGTGTTGGTCGGAGGCTTTGATGGTCCAGTGTGTTCGGCGTCTCGCTTCTGTCACTGTTTGGAGAGAATGGAAAAATATCGTCAATCTGAACATTGGAAATCGCTTTGGATGACTTTCTTCTGTAAAGTGCGTTATATATATATATAAAAAAAAACATTAATTACTACTTTTTTACATACATTTCTAGTCATATTTCTGTAGGAATTCAGTAGGAATGAGGAGCACACAACATTCTATATCTTGCCACAAAAACACTTCCCTGGCCTTTTCGTCTTTCCACTTGGTGTGAACGTGGATGATTGAGTGTGTGATTGGAACTTGCAGTAAACCACCCTCACGGGAGGAAAGGATTTCAAAAATGAAAATAAAATCTGATGAGATAAAGAAGGAATTGTGTGGTATGATTTGTAAAAAATAAATAAATAAATGAAATTACAGCAATATTCATTATTACTGAAACAGAAAGTTAGGTACCCCAGCTTTACCATAATGTTGACAGTTGATCGAGAGAATGTGGACATTATCGGAGAGTTATAATTGATTGTGCGAGACTTGTACAAACCATGCGCAAAACAAGTCACCATTGATTCCGCTGTTTGGTTAAATGTCTTACATTTTCCAACTAAAAACAGAATTATTACACGGCATCTTATTTCATCTATTTGTACAAGATCTAAGAAGGTAAATGGACCTTCAATATACACTTGTCATAATTCTAAGGCGCTCTCTGGTTGATCTATGACACCTCCTCATAGTGTTTGGTAGAAACTCCTTTGGTGCATGTTTGGGGCGTCTCCAGTAGAGGGCACTGTGGCTGTTCTGTGTGAGTGTGTGACCAGTGTGGGGCCCTCGCTGCTTCTGCTGCTGGACTCTGAGCTGAACTGTTTGCATGACTTTGTAATTCTTTGTAAATAAGCAGCAGGGAAGAACTTAGAGGAGCTTTTATGGTGTCCCCTTCGGTTGTGTTTGCGTGTGGGAAAAAGTGGTCTGCTATAGTCATTTAGAATTCAGTATGTGCAGACAGGGCAAAGGCCAAACCATGGTACATGTACTACCTGGGTTCCATCAGGGGGTATTTGGATTCCTCACAGTTTGCTTTGTTTCTGAAGTAAATGTATTCTATATCTTCCAATAAAAACAGAGAACTTCAGATCAGCACTAATTTAGACTCAGGAGCGTCTTGTTTAAGACCAGGGCTGTTTATGATGAGAGATTTGTTACTACTGCAGGAGTCAGGAGGCTAACTATCTCAGCAAGAAGGTCCTAGGTTTGAATCCCGGTCGGACCAGGGCCTTTCTGAGTGGAGTTTGCATGTTCTACCCGTGTCTGCTTAGGTTTCCTCCGGGTGCTCCGGTTTCCCCTACCACTAAAAACATGTACAATAGGTCTGGCATGTGCCTCCTGTTCGGCGACCCCGCTCCCATCTCTGTGTGGAGTGAGAGACAAATGCACAAAAAATAACAATTGTAAACCGCTTTGTGACTCTGGTCTGAGAAAGGCGGTAAATACTGTAAACAAAGATGACTTACTTACTATTGTCTTAGGTGAGAAACGTCTGAGAACCACTGGCAGGTTAAATGGATTGCCATAATTGATCAGACTTAACCGCACGAACCCCTCTAAATACACATTCCATTGATTAAATTCTAACTCATCAAACTAGAAAAGCACTTGCAAAACTCTGACTGTGATTTGGACGACCACCAAAATGTAACCAGTTATTGACCCTAACCCTTTGCATGTTACCAGACAATTGTTTTTCCAAATCCTTGACAAAAATACAAGCAATTGCGTTTTATTTTCCCATTACTTCATCAACAATGGAAAGGCCATGTAGTTGTAAAGCATTGTCCGATTTTCCAATAGATCAAATGGGCACAGAACTAACAGGAGAATATTTCCTCTTATGATGCAAATGAGAATTGATACATCAGAGCAACACAGTGTGAAAGGCTTCAGTCGCTGTGGCCTCTTTCATCACACTGTTTCCACAAAGTTGTCTGTTTGAATGAGGACCCGGCACAGCAGGTTTATTAACGGACTCTTTTGTTCTTTTGTGTAAAGTAATTTCTGATATATCTCGCTCTTGTGCCACTTCATTTTTCTACCTCGCTGCCCTTTGCTCACCTCCAATTGCATATCACAGCTCATGCATCCCCTTCTTACAGAAAAGAACTAGACCTTTTTTTGTCCAAGCCATCTCTAAAATGTGAAAAACTATACTATGTGCGCCGCTGTGGTCTTTGCTTGCTGATTAAAATGGTGCAGATGGAAATGTAATTTACAAGTAGCTTATGCCATTGTTGGGGAAACAATCATGGGCTGTGTTGGAGGAATTACTGGGCATATTATTTTAAATGGAAATTGTTATCAGCTATTTGTGGCCAATCTTGCAATTACTTCTCAAAGTTTTTTCTTCAACAATGGTGCATATGTCCAAATGATAACAAGTTCTCATTTAAACCGTATATATCTGCCACTGAATGCATTAACCACAAATGCTTTGTATGCACACTGTAGTTTGCCTTATACTCCAGTGACATAAAATTAAAAAACTACAGTATATTATATCTACACTTAACTGTGCATATTTTAAGGCTCAATTGTGTAACTTTTTTTTTCTTTTCAAATTTCCTGTCTGAATGCATGTTTGGGTTCGTTACACTTTCCTTCCCGTTTTGTTTGTCATGGTTCTGTCTTCTTCTTGAACTCTGAGTAAAACCAGGCTGTGTAAATGAGGGACTAACAATGCAACATTTAAACATTTCACAAACTCTTTATTTTGGTGCAAACATCAAAGCACAAACATTTACACGTGTGTAAAACAATAATTCAATAATTAACTTTATTGTACAGAACATAGAACACACAGAACATATTCCTTTGTTTTAATATTTGGAACTGAAATATTTGTATAAAAGCATGGTATCAAAGAACTCTCATGGTTGTAGGTTTAGTACTTATAGATCACCAGAGGATTGTGGCGCCGTTTTCCCAAACTAAAGTGGACACACACTGGGAGGCTGCTGGAGAACGTTGCCGTGTGCATGAGCTCCATGGTGTCTGCGTTGTAGAATGACAACTCTTTTTTCAGACAGTTCAGGTACAAACCAACTTTCTGAGGTTTGGTCTTAACTTCCAGAGAAGTGGAGCGTCCTGAGGCGAGAACCTGAAACTGACCAGAGCCGTTTTTTAGGTACGTGTCAGGTAAACCCAGCTCCCAGTCACTCTGTACACCCACATAAACCTCCCAGTAATGCTGCTCTGTGAACGTGTTGGTGCTTTGAGTGGAGTTGGGCAACTGGTTACGACATGAACTGCTACCATAGATATTGTTACGCTGATTTAAAATTGTAATTAAACTATCATATTCAGTTTGACAAAATGACGCTGTGCACTTGTCATCCGACATGGACAGACTTGTTTTGTCTGATCTCAGAGTCAGATGTTATTCTCGACGTTTCACCACCTGAATCATCTCCTTCCACACAAACATCTGCAGGTGGCTCTCGTATGGCCCCAGGTGCAGCTCTGGCTCCTCCACACGGAACTTATTATTTTTGGGTTGAAAAGAAGCTTTAGCTGCCTTGGCTTCGCCATCTTCAGACCACATCTTCAGCAATGGCTCAGTGTCTGTCATTTTTAATATTTGGGTTAAAGTATCTGTAATCTTTTTGTTCTCTGCTTTAGCTTCTTGAATGTTGTTCAAATTCTGGTTCATCTTCTGTAAAGCCTCTTCTTCATCGTTCTTAACTTTGTCCTGAAGGTCTTTTTCTTTCTTCCGCAGAAACGCATACATTTTCTTAAACTCTGAGCTGACGAGAGTTTGGAGCTCTGCAGATCGCTCTTTCGTCTTGCTGATCAGCTGTTCTTGTCTGGAGACCAGAGTGTGCAGAGCCTCGGTGTCTGTAGAGATCTTTGAGATCAGATTTTGCAGCTCAGTCTTCACCAGAGCAGAGGCTTCACTTACAGGTTTAAACTGGTGCCGATCATGTTTGTGTGAGTCTCTGCAGATCACACAGATCAGCTGTTGGTCCGTGATGCAGAACAGCTTCAGCTTCTCGTCATGTTCAAGGCACAGAAACTCAGCTCTCTGAAATAGACCAGACAAACACAGGCGTAATGCCGATTAAAATCCAAACATTTGTTTCCAGTGTCCCTGTTACACAAATACACACGGCGTCAGAGATACTGGACAGGTGAACCAGATTACTGCTTTTACCCTAGGCACCGTGGAGGTTATCAAAGCCTGTTTGTCCGGGTTAATTTGTTTCGGTCATGGTTCAAATGATTAGATTTTGGAGATCCAGGATTTTTGTAATACGTATATATCATCCTAGAGATATGTAAGACTGGGCTGCACTCTTAGGAGAACTTTTCTAATAATCAATATGATCGACAATTTGATGTGGAATTTAAAACATATAATTATAATATGCGGTAGAAGCTATTTTTGTATATAACTTTATTAACTTATGATAGTAACTATACGGTACAAATCACATGTAATACTTAAACAAACAAAAGTAGAAAAAATAATCCATTAATCTATCTTCTGGTCGTATTGGAAAAAAAAAAAGAATCACCAAAACTAAATCAAAAACAAAGAATGCACATCAGTCACGCCCTTATAGATCGATGGCAGATCCATGGTCCACGCCTGTCGTACCCGAAAGCTCAGCTCAACAGTCAGAGAGATACTTACCATTAAACATCCATATTTCTTATTACTACACCTGAAATTGGACTACCTTTTTTGTAAGCTTGTTTGATTTGTATATTCAAATTATAGGCAGAGAAACACTACCCCACACGTTAATGGCCATTTAAGTGGAAAAGTACACTAACACAGGGCTATCAGTAACTTCATACAATTAAAGAGTAGATATAGTCCCAAAGTACCTCTTTATCCAGGCGGTACTCCAGCTTCTGCTTGGTCGTCTCTTTAGCCTTCTCCACCAGTGTCTTCAGCACATGGCTGGACCTCAGATCCTGGGCCTGCGCTGGGCCTCTGCAGGTGGGACACTGGGGCTGGTTGAACAGAAATTTACTGATGCATTCTCTGCAGAAAGAGTGTCCACACAGAAGCACCACCGGCTCAGTGAACAAACTCAGGCAAATGGAGCAGGCCAGCTCCTCAGACAAACATGAAGCCATCTCCTGGAGTTTTATCCTTGGACCAAGTTAGATCTCCAACTTCATACAACAGTAACCTGTAGTGGCTGGTTTCCGCGCTGTACAGCGGTTATAAAAGTCACACCCAACATGACTGCATCCAAATAGTAATAAACACCTTACGTTATCCTTCCTTGTCGTTTAAAAAGGACTTTTTAGAGGTGTAAGACATTTTATATCTTTGTAAAAAAGTCACTTAAGTAATATTTTATTTAATCAAACGCATAAAAAGGTGAAAAGTGAACAAGAATGGACAATCAAGGAAGCGATCTTTAAGAATAGGAATGCAACCTGACTTTTGCGCTGAAATAATCACGAGAAAAGGTGCACATGCAGTTGTTTATGACTCAAACTCTGTATATCTCGGAGATATCTAAATAAAAGGATAAACCCCAGAACTATGAAAGTGTTAGTTTGCAATTAGTGGCTGTGAGGAACGTCTTTATTATTTCGAACTTTAGGCATTTTCCGGTTGCTTCCAGATTGCTCTTAACGGTGTGTGGCACGGGCAGAGGGACCTTTTTAATCTGTTTGGATGGTTAACGCTAGGCTGAAAGGGGATCAAAAGGTGTGCTTTTTTAATATGATCTTTATTAACTTTTTCTGTGCTTAAATAATAAATCTGTTTTATATAGCACTTTACATGTAATTATTCACTGCATTCACGGTTGTGACAAACCACTACTGTAGTTACAGCTGCCCTGGGGCACACTGACAGAAGCGAGGCAGCCAGCAGGTAGAGCCTTTTGGTTGTAAAGGTTCCATCTCCCTCTTGAACTCTGTAAAACCATGCTTTGTAAATGAGGGACTAAATATGTAAGATTTAAACATGTCATAATCACTTTTATTTGGTGCAAACATCAATACACAGACATTGACATTTAAAAACTACCACAAAACAAAGAACATCAAAGGTTAAAAAACAACAACAATTCAACTAAAATATTAATATATAAGCATGGTATCAAAGAACTCTCATGGTTGTAGGTTTAGTACTTATAGATCACCAGAGGATTGTGGCGCCGTTTTCCCAAACTAAAGTGGACACACACTGGGAGGCTGCTGGAGAACGTTGCCGTGTGCATTAGCTCCATGGTGTCTGCGTTGTAGAATGACAACTCTTTTCTCAGACAGTTCAGGTACAAACCAACTTTCTGAGGTTTGGTCTTAACTTTCAGAGAAGTGGAGCGTCCTGAGGCGAGAACCTGAAACTGACCCGTTTTTTTAGGTACGTGTCAGGTAAACCCAGCTCCCAGACACTCTGTAAACCCACATAAACCTCCCAGTAATGCTGCTCTGTGAACGTGTTGGTGCTTTGAGTGGAGTTGGGCAACTGGTTACGGTTTAAACCATGATTGTGCTGATTATTATAGAGTTTGACAAAATGACGCTGTGCACTTGTCATCCGACATGGACAGACTTGTTTTGTCTGATCTCAGAGTCAGATGTTATTCTCGACGTTTCACCACCTGAATCATCTCCTTCCACACAAACATCTGCAGGTGGCTCTCGTATGGCCCCAGGTGCAGCTCTGGCTCCTCCACACGGAACTTATTATTTTTGGGTCTGAAAGAAGCTTTAGCTGCCTTGGCTTTGCCGTCTTCAGACCACATCTTCAGCAATAGCTCAGAGTCTGTTTTTAACATTTGGGTTAAAGAAACTGTAGTCTTTTTGTTCTCTGCTTTAGCTGCTTGAATGTTGTTCAAATTCTTGTTCATCTTCTGTAAAGCCTCTTCTTCATCTCTCTTCACTTTGTCCTGAAGGTCTTTTTCTCTCTTCTGCTGAAACTCATACATTTACTTAAACTCTGAGCTGACGAGAGTTTGGAGCTCTGCAGATCGCTCTTTCGTCTTGCTGATCAGCTGTTCTTGTCTGGAGACCAGAGTGTGCAGAGCCTCGGTGTCTGTAGAGATCTTTGAGATCAGATTTTGCAGCTCAGTCTTCACCAGAGCAGAGGCTTCACTTACAGGTTTAAACTGGTGCCGATCATGTTTGTGTGAGTCTCTGCAGATCACACAGATCAGCTGTTGGTCCGTGATGCAGAACAACTTTAGCTTCTCGTCATGTTCAAGGCACAGAAACTCAGCTCTCTGAAATAGACCAGACAAACACAGGCGTTATGTCCGATTAAAATCCAAACATTTGTTTCCAGTGTCCCTGTTACACAAATACACACGGCGTCAGAGATACTGGACAGGTGAACCAGATCGCCACCGTGGAGGTTATGAATCAAAGTCTGTTTGTCCGGGTTAATTTGTTTGAGTCATGCAGGGTGCTTGCTCTTCTTCCAAATTAAAATTCCAGACTTTTTCCAGACTTTTCTTGAACTGATATATATTTTTTCCCAAGACCTTACCTTTAAGTCCTTGTGCACCTACTTCATTGGTGAGATTGTATCAACTGTGTTTATTAGAAATGTTAATTAACCATAAATATTTTCCCAAACTTTATTAAGACACACACAAAATTCAAGACTTTAAGGTCTGGAAAAAGTGTTTCAAAATTCCATACTTATTAATAAGTAGACTTTCAAGACTTGCGCAAGCACCCTGGTCATGGTACAAATGGTACCATGACCATTAATACGTTCATCCTGGAGAGATGTAAGACTGGGCTGCACTCAAGAGAACTTTTATAATAATTAATGTGATTGACACTTTGATGTGGACTTTTTTTGGAATATAATTTCATTGACTTATGTTAGTAACTGTACGGTACAAATCACATGCAAGACTTACACATAAGTAGATAAATGTATCACCAAAACTAAATCAAAAACAAATAACTTACTATTTACTACACTTACTTTCTAAAACATCCATATTGCTTATTTCTACGCCTGAAATTGTACTATCTTTTTTGTAAGCTTGTTTGAGAATAGGCGCACATGCAGTTGTTTATGACTCAAAAATTCTGTGTATATCCCGGAGATGTTTTATTTCAATAAAAGGATAAACCACGGAGCATGTAAGTTTGGAACTTAATATTTACAGTCTATGGAACTCAACAGCTGGGAGCAGAACTCATGTCCACACGTAGCCGGGTAATTTCCCCCCCTCCGTTTATAAAATAATTTGCATCCACACATAACCGAACATCTGCGTTTTCAATCACATTCATTCTACGTCATGGTGCTACGTCCCTCCCACTAGCGGACTTCGCTAGTGGGATATCACGTGACCCCCAGGTCACAGACGCCAGAGAGATCAACAAAAAATGCTTCAATCACTAGCGACCCTCCTCTATAAAGGCCCCTGCTCCATAGCCGCGCCCCCTCTTTCACTCTGGTGCCGATTGAGATCTACCACAGTACTTACTTCATTCTGAGATGTCTTCCATTGTTCGTCCGAGTTCCCCTTCGCCCTCCGGCGTCGGACGTCGTCGCTGCTCTGCGTGTTGGGTCAGGCTCCAGCGCACGGACCAGCATGCCAGCTGCTTCATGTGCCTGGGTCCGGGCCATGCGGCGTTGAGCGCTAGCTGCGCCTCGTGTCTCGCTCTCCCCAGGGAGGAGAGCGAACGCAGGCGCGCGTTCTTCGCCGCTGCAGCGCCCCGTCCGGACTCCTCTCAGGACGAGGAGTCTGAGATTGACTGGGCCCCACTCAACCTTCCGCCCGTGCCCGCGGAATGGGGTGACTGCGAGGTTGGAGAGGCTTCGGAGGACGGCTCTCTCCTCACGCTGGACGAGGTGGTGTCGAACCCGGAGCCGGACCGCTTTCCGCTGGACCACATTCCCGGTCTCTACTCCTCCGCGGCGGTCATCATGGATGCTCCTCTACCACCGCAGCCGGTCCAGACGGTGGAGGACTTCACCTCGGTGGGCGCTACCACTCGAGGGAGGAGGAGGAAACAACCCACGTTGTGCCCGCGGATGGACCCGATCGTCCATTACGCGACACGTGAGTGGCCAAAGCCCCTAGCAGCCAAGAGGCCTGCTCTGGGGTACGGCATGTACTGCAGCGTGCAGGACTGGTCCTGGACCGGCGGGGTCCTGGACATAGAGGACTCAGTCCGCATGGCCCTGCAGCCCTTCGCATCCGTGTGGCCTGGCGCCAGACCTCTCCTTCCCTCCGAGCGGGACAGGATGTCTTTGGCGATGCTGGACAGATGTTATGCCAATGCGGCTCAGGTCGTCGCATTGGCCTTTATAGAGGAGGGTCGCTAGTGATTGGAGCATTTTTTGTTGATCTCTCTGGCGTCTGTGACCTGGGGGTCACGTGATATCCCACTAGCGAAGTCCGCTAAGGGACTACGCACCTATTCGTAGAACTTAAGTTACATAAGGTAACTATCTATTAATTCCAAACATGTGCGTCCTCTGACGTCCTGCGTTTGGGGAAAACACAGATGTGGGCGGAGCTTTAATGCAGACGCCGGTGCTTCTGTAGCAAAGGTAAAGGTAAACTTTTACAGTCACAGAAGAAATTAATAGTAGGACTTAGGACTTCGCTAGTGGGATATCACTCGTTACATTAGGTAACTATTAATTCTACGTCATGGTGCTACGTCCCTTAGGACTTCGCTAGTGGGACACAACACGGAGGCCGTAGGAACATGTACTCCCAGCAGGCCAGCGAAGGGTGATTCGAGCTCCGCCCGAGCAAGACCCTCACACAGTGAGAGGACTCAGGGCAGAAGAAACAAATGCGTGTTACAGGGCCACTCCTACCAAGGATACCCCCACGTAACACAGACCGTAGGTCACCCGTAGTCCCAGGACGCCTCTCCCAAGAGCACCTGACGTGGACTACCTGACCGACCAAACACACATATAAGTACCGCACCTGTAGGATGCCTCTCCCAAGAGCTCCTGAACCAGGGCGGAAAGTCAACCGAAGGCCCCCTCAGAGGAGGGACCTAACGGTCTAACTCAGTCCGCTGCACTCAGCACGGAATGGACCACCGACCGGTCCGACACATCCAAAAGATAAGACCGGACGAAAGAAGGGGACGACGCCCAAGAAGCCGCATGGCAGACGTCCTCAACCGACGCCCCCCCTGAGGAGGGCCGTAGAGGCCGCCACCCCACGCGTGGAATGCGACCTGAAGCCCACCGGGGGGGCCAGACCCTGCGTCTGATACGCCCACCGCACAGCCGTGGCGACCCAGTGCGCCAGCCGCTGAGCCGAGAGCGGGGCGCTCCTGTTCTTGGGGCCCAGACACACAAACAGCTGACCACCCAACCTGAATGACGACGTCATGGCCAGGTAATGCCTCAGCATTCTGACAGGACACAGAAGGTGCCGCCGCTCCTCCTCGGGGGAGGCATGCGGTGGCGGATAGAAAGCCCTAATCCTGATGACTCTCGACCTAAAGGCCGACGTGATGACCTTGGGGAGAAAGGTCGGATTGGGCCACAATTCCACCATGCCGTCGCCCTCTCCAAAGGACAGGCAAGGCGCATGGACAGAGAGCTCACACAAGTCGCCCGCCCTCTTAGCAGACGCCAACGGCAGCAAGAGGGCCGTCTTAAAGCTACACACTCGGGACTCGCCTCCGCCGCCGGTTCAAAAGGCGGACCCGACCGCCCCCTAAGGACCACCCTGAGGTCCCAAACCGGGGGCGTTCTCTGGAGCGGGGGCCTCCTCCTGCGCGCCCCCCGCAGAAAACGTTTAACCAACGGATGAGAACGGGCTGTGAACCCCCCGAATCCGTCGTGACCCGAGGTAATGGCTGCCGCGAACACCGCCAAGGTGGCGACAGCCCTCCCCTTGTCAAAGAGCTCCTGTAGGAATCCCAGGACCCCCTCCAGCGGGCAACGCCTGGGATCCCAGGAACGAGAACCGCACCAGTCGCTGAAGAGCCTCCACCTCGTGGCGTAGGCCCTCACAGTGGACGGCGCCCTCGCCCCCTGAATGGTGTCCACCACCGCAGGGGGAAGACCCAGGTCTACGAGGTTCCGCCTCTCAGCCTCAAAACCCAGAGCCTGCGGCCGATTATCGGGCGTGAAAACAGGGCTCCCCCCCCCTGGACTAGAGCCCCCGGCTCGTCCGGGAGGGCCCAGGGCTCCATCACCGCCATGCCCCTCAGGCATGCGGACTGTCCGGAGCCACCAGGATCACCGACCTCCTCTCCTGTTCGATCCTCCGCAGCAGGACCGGCAGGAGACGCACTGGTGGGAAAGCGTACAGCAGGCCCTCTGGCCAGGGGTAATGAGCCAGAGCGTCCACGCCTAAGGGCGGCTCGTCCGCGGCCCTTAAGGCGAACCAGGACGGGCACTGTGCGTTTTCTGCACTGGCGAAAAGGTCGACCACTGGACGGCCGAACCACCGCCAGATCTCCGCAGCTACCCGTGGGGCCAGGCCTCACTCGTCCTGGAGTGGGCCCCCCCTGGACATCCTGTCGGCCCCCACGTTCCGGACCCCCGGGACGTGGCGCGCCCTGAGAGACAGGAGGTGAAGCGCCGCCCACAGCAGCGTCACCGTCGCCATGCGATGGAGAGCGGGGGACCTGGTGCCCCCCTGCCTGTTCAGATAGGAGACCACTGTGGTGTTGTCTGAGCGCACCATCACGTGTCTCCCCTGCAGCTGAGGAGCAAAGTGCAGCAGTACCCTGTGCACTGCCTCCATCTCCAGCAGGTTGATGTGACGGGCTGAGTCCGACCAGCAGCCTCCTA